AATGGGATAAAGTCCCACAAGGTGGAGTGGGGTCCTGATCATGGGCAGGGAAGCAATTAGCCTTGGAGAGAGCAAGAGAAACCTCTTTATCTGAGTATGAAGGTAAAGGTGCCTGAAAAGAAGTTTTGAGACCTTGAGATCAGAGTTTGAGGAATTCATGGTTGATGGACTCTACTATCTCAGTAGTTAGAAGAGGCCAGTTCCTCTGAAGGGACTGAGAAATAGAAAAGAATGAGGAAGGGAAGTAACTTGAATGGTGAGACAGAGGTTGGAAGCAATTTTATGGAGTGTGGAGTTAAGTAATTAAGACCGTGAAGGAAATTTGAGAATTCAACTGAAGTGCAGCTCTCTTTAAATTATAGTTGTCCCTGCCATTTATCTTAATCTCAGTATTGGTGACTAATAATTATTTCTTGAATTCTTAGTGGGGAGTTTCTTACTATGTGTTGTAACAGCTTCATAGAAGAAGGGAGTTCCTATCATCGTCCCCAGTTTTGTAGAGAGAAAACTGAGATGTAGAAGTCAGTAACAGTGAGAGAAGCAGGCTCTGAACCTAGGCATCCTGGTTGCAGAGTACAGCACGCACCTGTAGTGTATACTATGTGCCTGGGAAAGCTGGTGTGATAAGAGCTTGGAGGCAGGCAGGGTGGGTGGGATGGGTGAAGTGGCAAGAGACCTGAGGGTGCTGATATGTGTTCTGAAGTTAACTGAATTCAGGGAGGTGGGAAAGCAAGTAATCAAGGTCTAGAGGCTGACAGTGAGGGATTTGAGAGTTGGGCGGTTGAAGAATAGGTTTAGGTAGAACTGAGTAAAGTGAAATATGGGGTGCTAAGAGTTGTGATGAGAAAGGGATTGGTCATTTGAGGGATAGCATTTCTGATAATCCCAAGGCCACCACATAGTCTAAGAAATGAATGGCTGAGGTTAACAAGGGAAGTCTTTGGAGTAGAGAAGACTGGAGGATAGGAGATCTGGATTAGAACAAAGGATTTGGACTTTCCTGCTTCAGTGACACTTTTCCTGTTTGTGATATTTTATTAATTTGACCATTGCTGCCTAAATAGTTTCTCTTTTAATTGACTTGAATAATTGGGCTTTTCTCTTTTCACACTACATATACTTATAAATTGTAATACACCTCTTATCCTACCAATTACTCCTACTTGATCTTTTGATCTCTCTTAGTAAAATATTTTAAGGTTTTCCTCACTGTTAAGTTTTAGTTACTGAGGTTAAGCAGTTTCTAGCTTAGTCATAACTAATTCAGTCAAATTAAATATTCAGATACATGGATATATTTTACTACATTTACCATTTAATCTCTAAACAATGAGGTAAAATTCAACAAGATCTTTTAAGGAGCAGAAAGAACAGAGAAAATACAGAATTTTTAAAAATAAACTTTGAGAATAATTTTAGACTTACAGAAAAGTTGCAAGGATGATACAGAAGGTTCCTATACACCCCACACCCAGTTTCCCCTATTAATATCTTACATTAGTAGGGTAAATTTGTCACAATTCATGAACAAATATTATTTTATTATTATTATTAACCAAGTCTGTACTGTATTCAGATTTCCTTAATTTTTACCTAATGTCCTTTTTCTGTCTCAGGACCCCATCCAGGATACCACATTACATTTAGTTGTATCTCCTTAGACTCCTCTTTGTTGTGACAGTCTCTCAGACTTTCGTTGTTTTTGAGGTGTTTTTGGGTACTGGTCAGGTGTTTTGTGGAGTATTTCTCACTTTGAGTTTGTCTGATGTTTTTCTCATGATTAGACTCGGGTTATGGGGTTTTGGGAGGAAGACTACAGAAGTAAAGTGCCTTTCTCATGACAACATATCAGGCCTCCCTGCTATAAACATGACTTATCACCGTTGATGTTTTCCTGTTCACCTGGCTGAAGAAGTATGGTTTGTCAGATTTCTCAATTTTAAAGTTACTCTTTCTATCCCACCTGCCTTCTATCCTGAACTCTAGAAGGAAGTCACTATTATTTAGCTCCCCTCTTGAGGAGCGGGAAGTTATGCCTTATCTCATTGAGAGTGCAGTATCTACAGAAATTATTTGTAATTATTCTGCATAGGATATTTATCTTTTCTAATCACTCATTCCTTCATTCATTTATATTACTATGGATTCATGGATATTTATTTTATACTTCAGGTGTTTTAAATCCAGTACCACATTATTTATTTATTATTTGTTCAAAATGGTACAACTTTAGCCATTGAGCTCTTTCAGTTGGTTTCTGTGTCCCTTTGATATAACCTCATCATTTTGTTTTTTAAGTACTTCCTTACTTTCTGGCAGTAAAAAATACGCAAGATTCATATTGTATATTCTCTGTTCCAGCCCTAGAATCAGCCATGTCTCAAGGAGCCCTGGTTCCTTTTATTGGAGAATGGTATTAGAGACCAAGATCTAGGCCCTGGGTGTGCTCATTACTACTGGGGCATCATTGTTACTCTGCTCTCCCAGGTGACCACTTGGAAGTATACTAACCTGTGTATACATAGGGTATATAGCTAACTATAACTATTCCTGCTGCATCCATATTTATATCTGTATTAAGCTAAATGAGTTCGTACTGATGTTTTCAACTCTAATCCAGTATAATATGGATCAATCTAGCCTCTTCCACTCACTTGTCTGTAACTTTCCACTCCAACAGTAAGACAACAGGTCCCCACTTCACCATCAAACACATGTACTTATTTGTTAAATCCCAATGTATATGTATGTGTATATATATATGTATAATGGTTTCGGAATTGTTAACCTGTTCTTCCATGACACACAACTTTATCAACTAGAGTACAGTGCCTGTGTACAGTTTTGTTTTGTCTTTAGTCTTACAGCTACATTTTCAGAGTTACTTAGATCACCTGTTTTTACTCCACTTCCTGCAGTGAGGTTATGTATGTATTTGTAAAGCAGTTAGATTCTTCTGTCACAGTCTAGATTCCATCCTGGCACCCCCAATCTCCTAACTGACATTTTAAAATTTGTACACACTCAGGCGCCTGGGTGGCTCAGTTGGTTAAGCGACTGCCTTCGGCTCAGGTCATGATCCCAGGGTCCTGGGATCGAGTCCCACATCGGGCTCCCGGCTCAGCGGGAAGCCTGCTTCTCCCTCTCCCACTCCCCCTGCTTGTGTTCCTGCTCTCGCTGTCTCTGTCTCTGTCAAATAAATAAATAAAATCTTTAAAAAAAAAAAATTTTGTACACACTCTTCATGCTGTTCTGTGGATTTTGACAAATGCATAACATCATATATTCACCACTACAATATTATACAGAATTGCTTCACCACCCTAAAATACCTCCTATGCTTCACTTACTCTACCCTTTTCTTCTCTCCCTGAACCTCTGGCAACTACTGACCTGTTTTCTGTCTTTATAGTTTTGCATTTTCTGGAATGTTATATAAATGGAATCATAATGTGGGTAGCATTTTCAGACTGGTTTCTTTCATTTAATAATATGCATTTAAGATTCATCCATGTGGTTATATAAATTGATAGTTTGTCCTTTTTATTGCTGAATGGCATTCCATTGTGTGGATATACCACAATTTGCTTATCCATTCAGTTTTTTTTTTCTTAAGATTTTGTTTATTTGAGAGAGACAGGGGGAGAGCACAGACGAAGAGTGAGAGGGAGAAGCAGACTCCCAGATGAGCAGGACTCCCAGGACCCTGAGCTCATGACCTGAGCCGAAGGCAGACGGTTAACCAACTGAGCCACCCAGGCGCCCCCTCCATTCACCTACTGAATAACATCTTGGTTGCTTGCTTGCTTCCAGTTTTTTGCAATTATAAATAAACCTGGTGTAAACATTTGCATGCGATTTTTTGTGTGGACACAAATTTTAAAATCAGTTGGAAAAATACCTAGGAGAGTGATTGCTGGATTGTGTGCTATGAATATGTTTAGTGTTATAACTGCCATATTGTTTTCCAAAGTGGCTTTACCATTTTATTCTCACCAGCAAGGCTTTAGAATTCCTGTTGCTCCATACCCTTGCCAGCAATTGGTATTGCCAGAATTTTGGATTTTAATAATTTTTATAGATATGTATATATATGTATATATATATATATATCTCATAGTTTTAATTTACAGTTTTCTAATGACAAATGATGTTGAACATCTTATCATATTCTTATTTTCCTTTGTGTATCTTCTTTGATGAGGTGTTTAAGGTATTTTGCCCATGTTTTAATTGGGTTGTTGCCTTATTATTGAGTTTTAAGACTTCTTTTTATATTTTGGATACAAGTACTTTATCCTATATGTATTTTGTAAATATTTTCTCCCAGTGCATGGATGTCTTTTTATTCTGTTTTTTTTTAAATTCTGTTTTAACAGTGCCTTTCATAGAGTAAGTTTTTAATTTTAGTAACAATATTTTTAGTAACAATATTTTTTTCTATAGTTGTGCTTTTGGTGTTGTATCTAAAGTACGATCACCAAACCCAAGATCATGCAGATTTTTTCCTATGTTTTCTTCTAGAAGTTTCAGAGTTTTTCATTTTATGTTTAAGGCTGTGGCTTATTTTGAGTTAATTTTTGTGTAAAATGTGCTCTGCCTAGGTTCATTTTTCTGCATATGAATATCCAATTGTTCCAGCTGTTTGTTAGGAAAACTATTCCTTCTCCATTGAATTACCTTTACACTGTAGTCAAAAATCAGTTGAGTATATTTGTATGGATCTATTTCTGGGCTAACACTTTTGATCATTTGTTCTTTCACCAATGCTATGCTGTCTTGAATACTGTAGCTTTATATAGTAAGTAAGTCTTGAAAGTGGGTAGTATGAGTCTGCCAACTTTCTTCCTTTTCAGTATTGTGTTGGCTATTCTAGGCCCTTTGCCTCTCTATATAAATCCTAGGAGGATGTTCACTGAATTTTAAAAACTAAAAACATTTAAAATGGTTAATCTTTGGAGATGCAGAGTAAATGTGATGCTTTTAAAATTTTTTTCCAGGTGGTTCTTTGAAGCTCTGAAGTATCCTAAGTTTTCCAAGGCTAACGTCATCAATGGAATACTCATGACAGTGGTGTTCTTCATCGTACGGATTGTCTCAATACCTCCTTTTTATGGTTACATGTATTCCGTGATCGGAACAGAAGACTACATAAGGCTTGGATTTTTAATCCAATGTTCCTGGATCTTTACTTGTGCTATTTTGGATGGGATGAATGTCATGTGGATGATCAAAATTACAAAGGGTTGCATCAAAGTCATCTCTCTCCTCAGACAAGAGAAAGCCAAAAGTAGTCTTCAGAATGGAAAACTTGACTAAAGGTGGGCTACTGATAAGCATACTTCCATACTGTCCACGTTATATCTACTGATAGGATGAATTCTTAGCATGTTCTTGTACTTCTTATTAATTATATTTGTTATCGAGGGTTTCAGTGCTTTTTTTTTTTTAACCTTTAGAAAAGAGAAACTAAAACTTAGTTGTTATTCCAAGATTTCTGATTTTCTTCTGCATTATAAGCATGGATAAAATCTTAAAGGTTTAAATAAAAAATTATAAATATAGTGGTGAATCTTTTCAGAAATCTGTTAACCTGCATTGGTATTTTTCTCTGTGAAAAGATGACTATGCTAATTGGGTGCACTTGGTTTTATGTCACCAATTTTGCTGAAAGAATGGGAACTGCTTTTAAATTTGTAAATAGCTCTCAACACTTTGTTGTACTGCACTCATTTCTTACTGTGGCTGTCAATACCCGTTTAGGGTTTAATTTCTAAATTGTTGAAATGTTCTTTTCTTAGGCTATTAGAAATGATGTATTTTTTGTTTAGATATGCTATCATTTATGAATGATAAAGTATTTTGCTTACTTTGGGAATAATTAGTTCAGTCATGGAAAATACTTCTTTAATTTTTAGATTTTTCAGACATCACTTTATTATTTCTATTTTTAACATTTTATCAAAGTACTGCTTTTTTATTTGTAGTAAGACTTAAGACAAATCTTACAGAGCTCCTTAAGAGATGAATTCCTCTTTCTAAAAGCATGTTATAGATGACTAATAGGTCATTTTTAGGCTAATAGGAGGAATCATTAAGAAAAAAGCTTTAACACTGCTGTCTCTGTTTCCCTTGCACTTTTTCCATGAAAAATATATTATTTCTATTTGTAAAACCTCCCGTAGGTTCAGAACCCAACATCATCAGTACCAAAGTGTTAATGCAGTATATATTTGTCATGCTCCTAATAGGACGTAGGCCTCTTCTTAATGAGACCAAAACTCCAAAAAATCAGTATTCACATTTTAGTCACAGTTTACACCTATGCTTGCTTAACCAGCATTTTGAGTGCTTTGAATTTCTGTCTTTCCTGAAGGACAGGAAAAAAAAAATAGATAATTTAATCTAAGTATTCCGATTATTAATACCCTTGTCTCACGTGATGATAAATTTATGGCTGGTGACTCTGGTTTTTTGGTTTTGGGTTTTTTTGTGTATGTGTAAGTATATGTTTGCTTTTTCTTTGGTTCTTACAACCCCAATATAGAATTATATAATTAGCTATTATTGCCTTTATTTATTTTTCTCAAGTACTTGATTTTAATGATTGTTCTTGCCTAAGAAAGAAAGAAATTTAATCAGTGACGGCTGCTTGAGTTTAATTGAACCCAAACTAAAAGATCTAATCCACTCAGTTTCTTAGTTGGCAGGAGAATGACTCACTTTCATTGTCCATGTTATGATGGTGAAGGGAGGCTGGCTGGCTAGATCAGACTTTGATTTGATTTGATCTGGCTGTCTAATGCAGAGAGAGCCTGAGAAGTTTTAGAACATTTACAGAAGGTAATTGAAATCTCGGTCAATAACTCAGTGAGAAAATCAAATTGATTGGCTTATAGTAGGTACACTTATTTTTGAAAGACTTAATTAAAGTAATGTAAAGTATAGGTATTTGTTTTTTGGTTTTTGGTTTTTTTTTTAAAGATTTTATTTATTTATTTGAGAGAGAGAGAATGAGAGACAGAGAGCATGAGAGGGGGTAGGGTCAGAGGGAGAAGCAGGCTCCCCGCTGAGCGGGGAGCCTGATGCAGGACTCGATCCCGGGACTCCAGGATCATGACCTGAGCTGAAGGCAGTCGTTTAACCAACTGAGCCACCCAGGCGCCCTGGTATTTGTTTTTAAAGCTAATATTACATTGATAATTTGTTACCAAATTTAGTGCCTTTGACATCATAGGCACTTAAGTGCATATTGGTTGTTGAGAGGGGGTAGGAAAGCACATGGTTTTATCTTGTTCTTTTCTTGCTCTTTTGCAAGAAAACTGGATTTTTAAAAGGAAAACATTTATATTAGAAAACTATTTTGGAAATTACTTTAAAAAAAACAAAACTTGAAATAAATATTTTTGACTCTTGGGATATTTCTATAGTTTCTGAACACAGATTTTAAACCCACCATCAAAATGAAGACAATATAAAGCAATATATTGCAGTGTATTGTAATATAAAACTCACTAATCAGTGAGTTTCCATATAGCAGTTTCAGTTTTTGTAGTTGCTATTTCATGCTTAAAACTTTTTTACTTTCATTGACAGCATTTTCATTAGTATAGCTGTTCACAAAACAAATGTTTAAAATATCAATGCTTTGAACTAAAGTTCATTAATCCCTTAGTCAGCAATTCTTATTTTATGCTGACTGCATGACAGCTAATTCAACATCGACATTCAATATCCAGAAGTAGAAGCTACATATTTCCTTGTACAACATGCATGAAATGGAAAAGACACTACAAACTGCCATACTACTTTAAGTCAGATCTTTATAGGAGCTATATTTCACTGTTCTGTGATTATATCCACCTACCTAAGATACAAGGAGTTAAAGACATAACATATCATTTATTCCGTGATGAATTTATCATTTATTAAATGACAAACTTTTGCTAGACATTTTTCATATTAAGTATTTTGACTACCTGGATTAATTTAAATGATTCTATTAGGCATTTTGAATTTAACAACTATTAAAATATTTGTAGAAAATTAAAGCAAATTGGTGTAAATTTTTAAGCAACTCTATTTTTATAGAAAAAGATTAGTGACAACCTGTAACTATAAAGATGTTCTTTGAATGTGTAGTAGTCTAAAAAATAGAAATTCTTACAAAATTTTGAAAGTGAATGAAAATCAACTAAATAGCATGCAAGATCATAGACTCTGCATCTGATATTTTATTTGGGAGAATTTGAAAATTATGAGCTTGAATTTGTACAATTTGCATTCTTGTGTCTGAAATCTTTCCAGTGGGTATTGTTTGTATTTATTTAAAACTCAAAATGGAGTTACATATGAGTGCAAAGAAACTAACTCCTGCATAAGTTGATACCTTATAGTAAGTTAAGATGCAATCTTTATTCCAACTGTTTAGTTTTGTTGTTTCATGGCTAGTGCTATGTTTAGAGAAGTAATAATGTCTTTACCATTCCTAAGGGTGACTGACATACCATGGATGCCGCAGTACTATTGTAAAGGTCTAGTTTTATTTTTATTTTTATTTTTTATTTATTTGCGAGAGAGAGAATGAGAGACAGAGAGCATGGGAGGGAGGAGGGTCAGAGGGAGAAGCAGACTCCCTGCCGAGCAGGGAGCCCGATCCCGGGACTCCAGGATCATGACCTGAGCTGAAGGCAGTCGCTTAACCAACTGAGCCACCCAGGCGCCCTTTAAAGGTCTAGTTTTAAAAACTGCCTCATTTATAGGTGTTTGAATCAAATTCTTTTCTAAATTTTAATCTATTTAACTCAACTTTTTGCTAAAGTGTCGGTTTTTAAATTGTACACTCTGTGAGGTGCATTGGGTGTTTGCAGAATGGTTCTTCACGGTTGTAAAGGACCAGCTTTATGGTTGGTTACACGATTTGTCATCATGCATTGATGACAAACAGTCTTGTCGTGGAGATACCTAGGGGAAAGTGTTGTAATATTCATGTTTGTTCTGTTAAGTTTTTAAGGGAAATAAACATGTTCCAAAAGGCACTATTAAAATAAATGTTTGAATAAATTTCAGTTTTTAGGTTACTCTTAACTCCAATATGGAAGTATGCATACAAATTGGCTTTCAGTGGTTTAGTCTGTTGCTTGAAATTGAGAAGTCCATGTAATTGTTGACATCATCAGTTACACTTCATGGAAGACTATGTATTTGTGTGTCTTGGGTTCCAGAAGAAGCAAACTCATATAATTTTAGCAGAAATGTGGCACAGTGTTTCTCCGCACATACGAACCAGCACAGCAGTGAGACCCCTCCTGTGTCTAGAAACCCTGGGCACACACACAAACCTCCCAGCCTTAACCACAGCTTGGTTGACAACAGGCACACTAAAGCTACTGTAAGGGATTTTTCACATGAAGCACGTGGGGTATGTGTGAGAACAATGAGAAGCCAGTAAGACCTGGAGTTGGAGACACTGCGACTGATTTTCCCTTAAAAGGCATAATGCCCCTCCCTCATCTAGAACTTTTTCTCTGAATCCTTCCAGCCCTTCCAACTCATCCTCCTAATGCCCTTAAGACTTTACCAGCACCTCCATCCCTTATGCTAGCACCTTTCAACATCAACTTTTGAGGCTTCCCCATACCCATAAGCTTTCTGGTCTATTGCAGCAAACTTCAGAGTTTTCAAGTATGTTCTTCCATTGAAAAAAAAAAAAAAGCATTGCAGTAAGTTTAAGTAGAGGTCAGCAAACCATAATTGCTAAGAGGCTATCGGAAGCCATTTAGTATTTAATAATACTTGTTACAAGATGAAACAAGGCTAATAAGGTAATGGTTTTATTGAGAAACATCTGTAGTCTCTTAAACTGGCTTAGCAGTAAGAGCTTTATCTATGTTTCAGCTAGGGATTCATTGTAGGCCTGTAAATTATCTAAGTGTTCTTCCTTAGACCCCATGGCAGCAGGAAGAACTGAGGTAGCTCTGTTATGAGGCTGTTAGGAGGAGGGGCTGCTGGTCTGTGGCAGCATTCCTGAGTCCTCTTTAATTGAGCCAATTTAGTTATGGTCATATTTCTTTTAAAAACAAGCTTACCAGCAAGTGGATTACTCAGCACGTTTTACGAATGCAACACCCAAGGGCTTGAGCCCTATCCTTTTCTAGCCCGGACCTCAAACTTCCTCTACCAGCCTTGGTAGTAAGTTGCACCTTTATCTGAAGATATTTTGGATAGCAATGAAGAACTGAAGGCTAGCTGCTAAAGATTGGTTTGTTTGCATTGAAAATGTTTACACTGATTCCCTTGTTGGTTACACCGTAAACCGTTTGTTTGCATTGAAAATGTCTACAGCAAACTGTAGACAGTTTCAGTATCAGGCCCTATATTTAAGACCAAAAACAATGAGAAATATTTCTAAATCTTAAAGATATAAATACAATACCTCTGGCTGAAAACTCGTTAATCATCGTCTGTATATTTTTTTCTTTATATCTTTACATAATTCTTTCTGTAATGAAGTGTGCTTAGGTATTTGCTACTTCTTGGTTAATGAAGCCTAAAAATATAACTGTAAATAAAATATGCTATATATTTTTCTGTTTCTTGCTTGGTTTGCTTCTAGTATAATTATGTCTACTTTTTACTTAAGGAATTTTTGCACAGATAATACTCTCTCAGTAACTTGTACCTAGGATGAGTTAATGAGGTTTTTTGGTAATTATTGGAATTTGTAATAATAACTTTTAGACACAGATTTCATTTGAAAAAGCTACTTGAAGATTGCAGCAAATGTGATAGCTCTGGTGATATACACATTTTTGGAGGGAATATACAACCTTACTATGTAATTGTTATAAAGATTTTGGAAGTCTTTCAAAATACATTTAACATTTTGAGAACACATCTCCTAATTTATTTCCATAAGGCTGAATGAAGAACTTTGTCTTATTTACAAAATGTGAGACTTGGTAATTTATAAATCAGTGTTACTCAGATTTATCAACAATTAAAATAGCAATTTAGTATTCTTTGCTGTCTGGTTGTGCTTAATTTGAATGGGATTAATTGATATCTTTAGGTAATTCCCTTAAAATTTTAAAATGTTTGTATTCTTTATTTGTATGTATGTCAGTTTAAAGTATATGCAAGTTCTAAGCAATAATCTGCATGTTCTACAAGGTTGGCATTCCTTTGTCATGACAAATTTTATTTAATATTTTTAAGAATGTGTATAAAATCAATATCCTGCATATATAAATCCTGCATATATAAATCATCCCTCCTCCCAATGAAAACCTTGAGATTTTCCTGTGTTAGAACATTAATGTGGTGCAAAGCTTTGTATTTTGTGGAAAAAAAAATTAATAAAATCGTAATTATTTAGTGCAAAAGCTTGAGTCTACAAAGTGTACACTTTAACAGCAATTAATGAATAGATGATAAAAATTACTTTCCTCAAATCAAATCATCTCTCCTAGCTCTTGAATCCTAAAGCTAATATTTATCCTAAAGCTAATATTTATTCTTCAAGATGTTTATAGAGCTTGTTTACCCTCTTCCTTCCCTTTCCTCCCTTAGGTCTCTGCCTTATAACAAACCAGGAGACATAGCAAACATTGTAGTCATGCTTGTTGATGGAAGGAATGGCGCTATCTAATCAATAGGCTCTTTTAGAGTAAGTAAAACTTTGGCAGTTATGTTTTTTTTTTTTTTAAAGATTTTATTTATTTATTTGAGAGAGAGAATGAGAGAGAGAGCACATGAGAGGGGGGAGGGTCAGAGGGAGAAGCAGACTCCCTGCTGAGCAGGGAGCCCCATGTGGGCCTCGATCCCGGGACTCCAGGATCATGACCTGAGCCGAAGGCAGTCGCTCAACCAACCGAGCCACCCAGGCGCCCTGGCAGCTATGTTTTTAATCTCCTTCCCCATGTCCTTTAGGCCTCTCATGTGGTCTTGAGTGTGTTTTGCCTAATGTCTTGGCTGGAATTCTTCCCTTCTCAAATTACCCATGGTCTTAATCTTGCATCTTGGTCCGAGAATATCCAGTATATCAGAAAGCAGAGAGCTAATTGAATAGAATACTGAAGTGGTTTGGCCTTTGGAGAGCTTATCATGAGTCATGCTTCAGAACATGCCTAACATGTTGTGTCAAGACTGGCAAAGGAACAGCTGAATTTCAAAATTAAAATAGCAGCCACAGCTGTTAGTGGAGATAGGCCACAGGTAAAATTACAAGGATTCAGAACGCCTCTAAGCAAGTGTAAATGGGTGCTCTCTCTCACACCTCAGGCTGTCTCAAAGATGAGCCACCCTTTATTTCCTAGTCTTTACCAAAGTTAACTGCGTTCTTTCCCTGTCAATGGTCCTTAAACATGCACAAAATAAGCAAGTTGGCAAATTTGCAATTTTCCCCAATCTAGTAACTGATATCTGTTCCTAGGTGCTTCTCACAAATTGGACTCTTGAAATAAGGCCTATGCACACCACATCTGCTTGAGTAGCCCATTATTCTTATGGCACAGTGCTCCTAGGCTTGGAGCTTGACTCTCCCATTGGCTAAATAGCCTCTTCCTTTTTTCATCTACCTCCAGCTAAATTCTGCCACATCTGGTCTTGTCATCTCACCAAATCATTGATTATACCATTCCAGAAATTACCTGAGCAGAACTTTCAAAGAAGGGGACTTGTAGGGAGAAATGGAAGGCAATATCGATGATGGGCTGCATTTCTATGGATAAAATTCAAGGACAGATAGAAATTTGGGAAGAATGACACAGAAAAAAGATAAAAGACTTCAGAGATTAGGAAAAACAAAGTAAGAAAATGCTATGTAGGTAAACATTGTATTTTGGGTGACATGAACTTACAAAAAATGAATATAATGGAATTCCTGTACAGATTACAGGAAGTTATTAAAATGCAATATAAACATTCATTATGTATGCCTTTTTTTCTTCAGTTCTTTGTTTAAATTCCAGTTAACATGCAGTGCAGTATTGGTTTCTGGTGTAGAATTTAGTGATTCATCACTTACATAAAACACCCAGTGCTCATCCTAAGTGCCCTCCTTCATCCCCATCACCCATTTAACCCATCCCCTCCTCATCCCCTCCCCACCTCCCCTCCAGTAACCATTTGTTTTCTTTCTTAAATTCCACATGAGTGAAATCATGGTGTTTGTCTTTATATATGTGTGTGTATATGTGCAGGTATGGTGTGTGACTGTCATCTGTCTATCTTGGCAGCGTCACCGACTGCTGACAGATGCCTCCATGCAGAGGCGGGAATGAGGGGGCACCCCCATGCAGCAGGGATTCTAGTAGGCTGCCTGAGTCTGTAGAAGACCCCAAGTCTTGGTCTGTTGTAGTTACAAAAAAGCCAGCTATGCCCAACAATCAAGCTTTGTGGAATAATTTGTGTTGTCAGGCTCATCATAAAAGGTTTTAGAAGATGAAATGAGCAGTTTTAAAAGTATACTGTGGAGTCACTTGGGTGGCTCAGTCGTTAAGGGTCCGCCTTCGGCTCAGATCATGATCCCAGGACCCTGGAATCGAGTCCCGTTCGGGCTCCTTGCCCAGCGGGGAGCCTGGTTCTCCCTCTGTCTGCTGTTCCCCCTGCTTGTGTTCCCTCTCTCTGTGTCAAATAAACAAAATCTTTAAAAAATAAATAAAAGTATACTGTGCCATGGACAGAAAGGTTGTATGAATGGATGTAACACAAGAGGGTAGGGTTTTGTTTGAATTGTAAATTAGAAAAAAGCAGTTTGCCCAAGAGTCAAAGGTACCTGTGAAGAAGTATTTTAATCTCTGCGAGTCTTAGTTTTGCTATCTCCAACATTCCTTCCAACTTTCCCATCCTATGAGAAAGAGCTTTAACTTGAAACAGAGCAATTAGAACAGAGCAAGTGTAGCTTTAAGGCTTAGTAATGTGATTGGAATGGCATCTGAGGGAGATTCTCAGTGTCAGATGAATGGGAGTAGAGAAATAGGCTAGTGATGGAGAAATTGGCCAAGCAGCTGCAAAGTGGTTAAGCCTGATGTGTGGCCTTGGACAAGGAAGAAAAACAAAAGGGCCAGATCTCCTAAATATTGCAAAGGGAGAACCAGAAGGATTTAGAAAAACTGAACATAGCTCACAAATAAGGCTGTGGAACTGAGAGGTGACAGATGCCACTGGATGTGATGTCAGAACATGGGGAGCCAAGGACTCAGCGGGAGGTTGGAGAATGACTGGTGGCAGCTCTTAAGGGGACGGTGTGGATGAGAGGAAAGAGGGAAGTCAGGGTATCAGGCGTTTTTCTATAAATGAGGAAAGGTAAGGTACAGTAGTTGGAAGAGCGGAGGGAGCGTCTGGTAGACTTCTAACATAATGGCCATGTGAAGAATTCATTCTGGGGAAAAGAAAAAGTCTCAAAGTGCCTCACTATTGTGGCTTCCATTGCTTTTCTCATTTCTGAACCATGGTCTTCCCTCGACCCCTTGTATCTGTGTTTTCCAGGTTCCTGACTGTCACTGACTCATAGTTTCCCCACAGCCCTTTCAGGTCTGCTCTCTGTCCTCATGACTCAGTGCTGCCCATGGTGTCAGCCCCACCTTCTGTAGTCAAAGAGCTTGGGTAAGGTCTAGAGATGATGCCCCAAGAATAAGGCCCTTCCAGGGAATCTGGCTGCAGGTCCGGTAGTTGGAGGCTGCTGCAGATGGAGAAAGCTGCAGCCTTGCAGGGGGTATGACTGTCCAGGTGAGGTGGTCATTGGATGGTGGGAGTAGGGGGGCAAAGTTCAAAGCAGAGAGCAGAAGCCCATGTAACCTGGAGCAGGTGCAGGGAGGCTGCCATGCATGTGTTAGGTCTTCAATTTCTGTGTCTGAATTGCTAGGAAGGTGACATGGAGAAGCACTCTAAAACGTTCTCTCTTGGACTACCATATAGTCTCCTAATTGGTCTCTCCCACTACACACTCTCTCCCCGCCCATCTGTCGCACATGCTACTGACTGACTCATTTTCAAACACATCTTCAATGTGTCACAGCCCTGCTCAGAATTTCTGAATATTCTGAGAATACTCTACTCCCAAGTCTAAACTACTTCAACCAAATTTAAAGTTCTCAGTGAATTTACCCCATCCTATCCATTCCACTTCCAGCCAGTGCATCCAAGCTGCATGCCCTTACACTTCCTATGTCTCAAGCCTGGAGGCCCTTGCCTCTCACAGATCTGTCACGTACTTTATCCTCAAGACACATATTAAGAGAACTGATTCTTTTTTTTCTCCACTAAAAACAAAACATGTTCAGGTAGAGTAAAGAAGAATACATTCATTAAATCATGTTAATTTACATATATTTTTAAAGATTTTATTTCAGAGAGAGCAGGGAGAGGAGCAGAGGGAGAGGGACAAGCAGACTCCATGCTGAGCGTGGAGCCTGACGCAAGACTCGATCTCATGACCCTGAGATCATGACCTGAGCCAAAATCAAGAGTCGGACACTTAACTGACTGAGCCACCTGGGCACCCCAAATCATGTTAATATTTATTAAGCACTGGCTAGATTGCCAAATGAGTTCTTGGAATAACCAGGATAAATAAATTCATTCTTGACTGAGCCTGGATCTCAGAACTTTCTGTCCTGGAGAAGCTTCTATGGCCATAGCCAAGCTGTTATGTTTTCACTCAAAGAAATTAGTTCAGCCACCCCCACTGGCTGGGGCAAGTAGTGGGAGCTCAACCCTCCTCAGGCTTCTGCACAGACTTTGTTATTTTGAGTAACATGGTGGAAAGACTTCATCTGGGAGTCTGAAAACCTGGATTCCAGTTCTGGCTCACCACCTACTAGTGACCAGTGTAGGCAAGTGTTTTCACCCTCTTGGCATTTGTTTTTTCACATAAGGTGAGGAGTTCAACTGGGTAAATTGAAGGCCCCTTTTCTTTCAAGTTCAATCATTCTATGATAAGAGTAATTAGAATCAAGGTTGGGGGATAGCCCGGGTTATGGCAGGCTATGAGCAAAATTCCTGTCAGCCAGCAATTTTAGAATATTGGTTTCAGTTGCATAAGTTTTTGGAGGCGGCTTAAATTCTAACTTTGATTGTGACTATGTGCCCTTGAGTAAGGCCCCTTGTTTATGACTCCATCTTCCTCACTTGCAAGAGGAGATGTTATCACTTGCGATCGATGAACCTAGCCAAAAGAGTCTGAGTGTAATATTTGCTGAGTGCTTCAGGATTCTTCGGGAAAAGAGATAAAGTTTTAATGATGTACTTTCCCACTATACTTGAAGCCAAGTTGATTTTTTTAATACTCTTCCTAGTGTTAACCTTTGAAAGTTATAAACATCTTGATCATGGTATCCAAAAATGGAGCCCATTTTCTTTATTTCCCACAAGAAAATATACTCAGAAAGGAAAGGGGATGACTAATGAAATGTAAATAGTAAGTTATTTATTCCTTGCTCACCAAAACAAAAACTCTAAGTCCTCCAATTATCTTGAGAAGCCAGTCTACCACTAATGGGTCAATTACCTCGGTTGACTCAGTACTGGGTAATCAGACTTTCCGTAAGATTTCTGTGTTCTTGGTGACCCTAAACATGGCCTGCTAGGGTTATCTGGTGGGCTCTGTGCGAAGTCAAGGCCAGGATGAACTGGGATGGGGAAACTATTCTGACGTTTGTTGTCTGTGACTTAGTTGGGTGGTACACTTAGTTGTTTCCTGTAACTTTATTGGTTTTTGGCTGACTGATAATGGAATTATCTATAGTAAAGATCCACTCTGGGTTTTTACAGTCAGTAGATGGACTCTCTGAGACAACATGTCATGAAGAAAAGTAATAAGTAAATCTGCATTGCTCTAGGGGAAAATGTGAATGATTCCTTAGCATTCTAATGAGTAAAAATAAGTGCTAATTGGGATTTATGTTCTAAAGAACGGAGTGAGAAAATGGATGTGCCAGCATATTAATTTTGTTCTTTAAAAATGACTAAACTAAAAACTTTTATAACTTTGGACCATTCTTTTTAGAAAGGCATCTAAGCTGTGTATTAAAAATGTGAAGCCAAAAAGAAGTCTACTTTCCACTGTCCATCCCTTTCATGACATTAGCTTCAACTCTTAAATATCCTTATTCCATATCTAACCAAATGCCTACATTTTGTATGTTTAACTCAGGCTCCAGAAACCTGCTGGAAAATCGTTCAACTCTGTGTAATGGAGCCACCACAAATTCATGGAATCAGTCATTCACTTTAAAAACATTGACACTTTAGGTACCAGGTACCATGCAAGCAGAGGGTGTAAAAGGTGAACAAAACTGTCAAGTCCTCCCCAGGGAGCTGGAAGGGAGAGGTAAGGAGCAGGAAAGCATATATATATCAAGTGACTCTGCAGGTATGTCTTTCCTCTTTGATTCCAGATCTTGCATAGTGTTTCACATACAGTAAATCATGCCATCAAAAAACATCTAGTCAGCACTTACTATGTGCCAGGCTCTATTTTAGGCTCTGGAGGACATCAGTGAACAATGTAGACAAGCAAGGCTCTGCTCTCTAGAACTCACATTCTAGCCATTGGAGAACAACAGTAAACAAGCCTGGGGAAAAAAAAAAAAAAAGAAATATACCAGGTAATTTCAGGTAATAATAAGTGCTGTGAAAGAAATAAAAGATAGTGGGGATTTGGAGGCATTTTAGAAGGGCCACTTTGTGGAGATGACCCTGGCACTAAGACCAGGTGGAATCTGCAAGCGTTGTGATGAGCGTGCTAGGCCGGGGAAATAGCAGGTGCAAAGTCCCCAAGGTGGAGATACTTTGGTGTGTTTCACGTAAAGGAAGCCACTGTGACTGGAGAATGGTTAGTGAGGGGAGGCGAAAGAGAAGATGTGGTCAGAGAGTTAAGCAGGCACAAATCACACTGGGTTGTTGTAAAGGTTTTGGCTTTTCATCATGCTTAGAATAAGCATTCCAGGTTTTAAGCAGTCCAGGGGAAAATGATGTGGGCTTACATGCAGGCTTTCCAACATTTTTTAGCACAACACCCAAGAACACACATATTTTATGTGGTGACTCAGTACATAAACACATATGCATAAACAAAAATTTCATGAGACAATCCCCTTAACCATGAGTGATGCACTCTGAGATTTGCTATTCGATTTCACCGTAAAAGAAGAAATACTGGTTGTCACCCACTAAACTGATTTCATAACTCATCAATGGGTTGCAACTCACAGTTTTTGTAAAATGCTGGCTCAGACTAACGTGCTGACAGTAGAGATGGAGAGAAATGAATAGATTCAGGGTATATTTTAGAAGTAGAGCTGACAGTGGTTATTGATGGACTTGTGAGGAGGTAAGGTAAAGAGCCTGATAAACGATGATTTTCTATGATTTTGGCTTGAACAAATGGGAGGATGGTCTTATATCCTGAGATGGGGAAGACCAAGGAAGGAATATGTTTTATGGGAGGGGTGGAGGGGAAATCAAGAAATCTTCTTTAAACACTTTGAATAATTCCAATTATACATGTTCATGAGCATATAGAATATTTGTAATATTAATTGCTTGAAGTACAAACGAACAAAAAATCTTTTTATGTAGACTCTTAAGAATACTTTAAAAATATTAATTTTATTTTCATCATAGGAAATAAAACCTGCTAACTAAAAGGGAAAGAAATGGAATCCATGGTCTAGCCACATAAAAATGACTGTGATTAGTTTTTTTTTAATGTTTCCTTAGGGTAACTTTTTCTATGCACTTTTTTTCTGGTCTTCACCTAAGCTTTTATACAGATGATTGTTTGGGATTGGAATTATGTAAACAGTTTAGAGCTAATCAGTGGATTTGGAGACAGTGAGGTTCATGGTAATTGATGTTTAATGAGTAGCTTTATTTTTGTAATAATAAGGTGATTTTAATGGGAAACCCAGTGATTTAGTCCACTATTTCTCAAACTTTAAATACCCACACATATGATTACATTATATTTTTCAATCAGTTTTGTATATGTGCCCAGATTTGGATGTATATACTCCATATACACTCCAACACTCATCTCCATACCTATTGAGAATCCTGGGTACAGGATTAAAAATTTTTTTCAAATATAAAATAATAACTAAACATGCTTTTCCAAATTACATGTGTCATTTCTGGGCTCCTTCACTCTTCATTTTGGTACACCCCTTTAAAAGCTATAAACTTTAGGGGCGCCTGGGTGGCTCAGTTGGTTGGGCGACTGCCTTCGGCTCAGGTCATGATCCTGGAGTCCCGGAATCGAGGCCCGCATCCGGCTCCCTGCTCAGCAGGGAGTCTGCTTCTCCCTCTGACCCTCCTCCCTCTCATGCTGTCTCTCATTCTCTCTCTCTCAAATAAAATAAAATCTTAAAAAAAAAAAAAGCTATAAACTTTGAAACCTACTTCCTGACCCCATTCCTTGATGACCAGTGATTTCATCAAGCCTAGTTGGCCTTTACATACAACAAAGCTTATTTCATGGTTCTAATGACTATTAGATACTGTGTCTATAGTAACCTTAAATCCACAAAAATACTTTCTCTTACACTTCAACACTTACTGGTCGTTCTATTGAAGCATTGTCTTAGGCTTTATGTAAACATGAGGAAGAACATGGTCCTTACCCTCAAGGAGTTTATAATCCAATCTCATCATCAGACAACTTTTAAAAAGTAAACGTCTAACAGCTTAAATTGACTGAAATATTGTGAAGATAGTACTGTGCCCATATACCCCAAACGCAGTTTCCCTTTCTATTATCATTTATGTTAATATGGTACATAGTTTTACAGTCAATTTGAATCATACCACTTACAGAATTTTGAATTCTCTCCTTTTCACTTTACAGTATATCGTCACTATTGTTTCCACTTAAAATGAATGCTAGTGGTGGCCAGGTACTCTAGATATTACCTGTGCCAGCCACCTCATTTATCAGATGAGGAAATGGAGGTTAAGACCAGCGTATGGGGTAAAACCAGAGCTGCAGGCCCCCATCCCCAGGTCCGTGAGTGTAACACGGCTGCTTCTCACCTACCAGGGAGATGTAAGGATGTAGGGAATAGTCCTTCATGAGTTCATTCAACCAACCAATAGTCACTGAATACCCACTAAGCATCAGAGATTATTGGGTTGGTACAGAAACAGCAGTAAAACCGGCCACTTTCTATCTCCAGGAATTTACATTATAAATGGTTTTGAGTTCAGATCATGGAATAAAAGGACATTGAATTTCTGCTTTCCTTCAGTGAGGTGGGAAGAGCAAAATGTACTGGGGAATGGGGAGCTGAACATAATTTCCGAGGGGTTGTTGTGGTAGGCTGATAATGGCTCTCCAAAGGTGTCTATGTCCTAATCCCTGTAATCTGTGAATGTTACTTTACATAGCAAAAGGAACTTTGCAGATGTGAGTAAGGATCTTGATTATACAGGGTTATGCAGATGCATCCAATGTAATCACAAGAGTTCTTATATTACAGATGGTTCTTGACACACAGTGGTTCAACTTACAATTTTTCAGCCTTACAATGGTGTGAAAGCAATATGCATCCAGTAGAAACTGTGCTTCGAATTCTGAATTTTGCTCTTTTCCCAGGCTAGCGACATGCAGTATGATACTCTCTTGTGATGCTGGTCAGCAGCAGCCCCAGCTCCCAGCCAGCCATGTGATCACAAGGGTAAACAACCGATATACTTATAACCATTTTGTACCATTTCAGCCATTCTGTTTCTCACTTTCAGTACCGTATGCGATAAATTACATGAGATATTCACCACTTTATTATAAAATAGGCTTTGTGTGAGATGATTTTACTCACCTGTAGACTAATGTCGGTGTTCTGAGCATGTTCAGGGTAGGCTAGGCTGAAATACGATGTGCAGTAGGTTAGGTGTATTAATGCATTTTTTACTTATGTTATTTTCAATTTATGATGGGCTTATCAGGAGATAACCTCATCATAAATTGAGGAAGATCTATATAGGAGAAGAGGAAGGAGATGTGACCAGAGGTACAGATGGGAGGGATGGGATTACTGGTTGGAGGCTGTGAGATGAAGAACATGGGCAGCCTCTAGAGGCTGGAAAAGGGAAGGAACAGTCTCTCCTAGAACCTCCAGAAGGAATGCAGCCTTGCCAAGGGCTTTGATTTTAGCTCCTTAAGACCCATTCGGGACTTCCAACTCCAGAACTGTAACAGAATAAATTCGTGTTGCTTTAAGCCACCAAATTTGTGGCAATTTGTTATGGCAGCAGTAGAAACTAATGCAGTTGATAAGCTGACTACTTTTTATGAAAAAGAAGAAATTATTAGTAAGATACTGTAGGATTATAGAATGTTAGCCTCTAAGTTTCAACTCTGCTCTATCTAATCCAATAGCTTCATTTTTTTAGAGGAAAATAATGATAAAAAGGAAAGTATCTGACAAACTTTTCCTTATTCAAACTGATTATATTGCTTTGGCTTTGAAACCATATATGTAGCAACATGATTCATAATAGCCCCAAACTGGAAACAACCCAAATGTCATCAGTACTAGAATGGAAAACCCATTCCCTATCTATTCCCACAATGGAATACTACACAGCAATGAGAATGTATGAACTACAATTACAAGGAATAATATGGGTTAATCACATGAACTCATGTTATTGTTGAGTGAAAGAAGACAGATACAAGGAGTTAATACCATATAATTCCATTTACATACATTTCAAAAACAGGCAAAACTAATCTATGATGTTAACAGTTACCTTGGAGAGGGACAGGGGCTGGGTAATGATGGGGAGGGGGCAGGATGGAAGCTTCTGGGATTCTGGCAATGTTCTGTCTCTTGATCTCAGTGCTGGTTACATGGGTGAGTTCATTTGGTAAAATTCATGTGATTTGTACAAACTTCTGGATGCTATATATAAATAAAAAGTTTACTTAAGATAAAACCATATGAATGTGTGCTCCCAATGGTTGTTTTAACAGTAGCTTAATATAAAGAATATGAGCTTTTAGAAGGAAAATAATGAGCAAAATTCCTTGCTGGACCCTTCTTGGATTCACCCAAAAGGGGAACCAACACCCCTCCCTCGCTTTAGAATATTGGATTTAAAAGTTTGTTCTAAAACATTTGAAACACTTACTTTTTGCTGTACTTTTTAACCTCTCTCTCCCTCTCCCCCCAGAACACATTATTTTCAGGCTGGTGTTTAAAAATATTATTTAATTGTAGGGAAGGGAAGTCTTTAATAAGTTAATGATAAATAACAATTGCCTAATTATGGTTCTGTGGAAGAATGAGGCTTTCTGGTGTGCTTGGAATTGTATCTATTCAGGGCCCC